TCGGCCATGGTCACTAGCATGGCCTCGATCCTGGACGGCGGCGACTACCGACCCGAGCTCTCCATCCCGCTCCATCACGCTATGAGCATGTCCTGCGACTCGTCCCCGCCCGGCATGGGCATGAGCAACACCTACACCACGCTGACGCCTCTCCAGCCGCTGCCGCCCATCTCCACCGTGTCGGACAAGTTCCACCACCCGCACCCGCACCACCACCCGCACCACCACCATCACCACCACCACCAGCGCCTGTCGGGCAACGTCAGCGGCAGCTTCACCCTCATGCGCGACGAGCGCGGGCTCCCGGCCATGAACAACCTCTACAGCCCCTACAAGGAGATGCCTGGCATGAGCCAGAGCCTGTCCCCACTGGCTGCCACGCCGCTGGGGAACGGGCTGGGCGGCCTCCACAACGCGCAGCAGAGCCTGCCCAACTACGGGCCGCCGGGCCACGACAAAATGCTCAGCCCCAACTTCGACGCGCACCACACTGCCATGCTGACCCGCAGTGAGCAGCACCTGTCCCGCGGCCTGGGCACCCCGCCCGCGGCCATGATGTCGCACCTCAACGGCCTGCACCACCCGGGCCACGCTCAGTCCCACGGGCCGGTGCTGGCGCCCAGCCGCGAGCGGCCGCCCTCGTCCTCGTCGGGCTCGCAGGTGGCCACATCCGGCCAGCTGGAGGAGATCAACACCAAAGAGGTGGCCCAGCGCATCACCGCGGAGCTGAAGCGCTACAGCATCCCGCAGGCGATCTTCGCGCAGAGGGTGCTGTGCCGGTCTCAGGGGACGCTCTCCGACCTGCTCCGGAATCCAAAACCGTGGAGTAAACTCAAATCTGGCAGGGAGACCTTCCGCAGGATGTGGAAGTGGCTACAGGAGCCCGAGTTCCAGCGCATGTCCGCCTTACGCCTGGCAGGTAAGCCCAGAGGGTCGCCTGGAGCCAGGCAGCTTGGGGAGAGGTTTCCCGCATGCTTGTGGCCCCAGGTCAGCGCGCCTAGGACTTCCCTCGGTTCTCTTCTGTTTTCCCCTACACACTTCCTATTTCTTCTCGACTTTATTTCTCCTTGCATTTCATTTCTCTCCTCCTCCCCTCCCTTTTTCTTATTTCTCTTCCTCCTTGTTTACCAGCTTTCATTGACCTACTCCCTCCTCCAAAACACGCATATTTCATTCGCCCACCCCTCAATGTGCCAACTTTGCCCTCACTTCCCGAAGCAGGATAGGGGTGCCCGGTGTCCGCTAGGAGCCCTCTTTTTCCAGGACCCACAGAGAACAGGAATTGCTCTTATGCAAAACCCTGTGCGCTGGAACTCTTGCTCAGACAATACATTTCAGTTTTCCAGGCTGCCTAGTCTCTCTATATGGAGGCAGTTGAGGGGCTTTGCTCTTCAGAAGAGGGCAAAATAATCTCTCTGTTCTCCTTCTACCCACCATATCAGGCAAACTTATTTGGTCACTGGCAAGAGTCACAGCCTTGCCCGCCAGGGAACGGTGGCCAGACTATAGCAGCGCTTCCAAGCCCTTCTCCGGCCTTAGCGTTGGCGGGGGGTACTTTCTGACCAAAGGAGCCGGCTCAGGCCAGCTCCCGTGTTACTGCCCACAGCGAGGGGAGGGTGCAAGGACGAAGGCTGGGACTGCCACGTTCACCTCTGGGAGGATGGGAAAAAACAAACTAAGAATGGAGAGTACCGTTCCTCACTGGCCAGCCGCCCTTGCCCTGCTCGGAGCGTTTGCTGGTATTTGCCGAGGACTGGCTGGGCCCAGAGAGAAGCTAGGCGCTCGTGGGAAGAGGTGCTGAGAAATTAAGATGCAGGTTTGTTAATGCATCTTGGCCGCGGGCTACAGGCTCCGCCTTTGCATTAAGCGGACGTTGATTGTACGCGTAGCACGGCAGCGGGGAGGGCTGGCAGCCCGCGGGAGGGGACGAGTGGACACGACTGGTACATTGTTCTGGAGCCGGCTTGGCTCTTTGTGCCTCCTCTAGCGGCCAAGCCGCGAGGTACAGCCCTCTATTGTTCTAGAAGTACAGACACCTCCTGTGTGGGCGGCGGGAGCGATAGAGAAAAACGCAGCAGTGGCCGCGACTGGCACGCAGTTGCGCGCTTTTGTGCGCACAGACCCAGCGCGGTGCGCGTGGTAATTGCGCTGCCCCCAGGACCGAGCCGTGGGCCCAGAGAGGCAAAGTGTTCAGGTACCCCACTGCAGAAGACACACAGTACCGTAGTGCACACTGGGTTGGGCAGCTTCTTTAGGACTGGGGTGATCTCTTGGGATCCGCAGGACATCTGGGACACAAGTCGTGGCGGCGGTGATTTACCTACGCACGGATAGTGGGACGCGCGCGATTCGGAGCTGGCTGCACACAACGCGCTTCCGGAGCCGAGAGCTCAGCCTTCCTCTCACGCGCCCGGGGGCTTTCCTCGCCCCGCTGAGCCAGGCTTATAGTGTGCACTCAGCCGACGCCGGACAGGGCTGGGATGTGTGACAAGCTGCGTGTTCACCCAGGCTAAAGGAGGGCGCGTTTCCGCTCTGACCATCTCAGCCTTTGCCCTCTGTTGCAGTGTTGATCTGAGAAGGTAAAGAAAACTAGCTTTCCCCCAAAGAGCTTCTCAAAACTGGTGAACTCCAAGTACTTTTGCTTGGATTTAGAAATCTACTTTATCTTTCTCCTTTAGCTTACTCTTAATCCTCTCCTACATTTTTCTCTGATTTACTCTTGGTTCCTAGAAAAGATTTAACAGTGACTAGAGAAGAGTAGCGGTGAGAAATAAACTGGAGGGTACTGACAATTCCGAACAGTGTGGTACCCTTTTGTCTTAGCGCCTTCCTCCCCAGGCCCCTCTCTGCTAGCGGTAGCACGTGCTGGCTTCCTGGGCACAGGCGGCCAGAAGGAACTTGGCAGCTGGTCTTTGGGGGGTACAATTAAAGGCAGGATGACAGCGATTCCACTCCAGCCCATCTCAGAGCGCTGCCGCCCCCTCACGCCTATCGCGCAAAGGACAGAGCTTTAGAGGAAGAAAAAAAAAAAAGGTGCCTTCCTGTCTATATTACTGAAAGTGACGTTAGTGTGTCTCAGCTTTTACCACGGCACCAAGCATTGCCGGGATGAGGGATAGTATGGCATCCCCAGGGGTCCCCAGTCCCACCTTCCACCCCGAAGGGTGCTGGGCAGACTCCTCCCTCAGGGTCTGGCCTGTGGGAGCGGGGACATGGGGAGGATTTTCGGAGGAAGAGCTCTGAAACCACCTCCTCGGAAGACTGAAAGCCTCCTGTAGCAAGTGGGAAATTCCTGCTGAGGATCTCGCTTTGCTCAAGCATTCAAATGTGTGTCTGTTTTATTACCCCAAGTTGAAAAGGGACGAGCTTTAGCCTTTTTATCTGGCCATTTTATCAGCAACTACAAGTGTGTTGAGTGGTTATTATTACATAGAAGGCTTTTCAGTTTGGGGTCAGTAGATCAGTCTCTTCAGACACTGACGCAGAAGCTGGGACTGGTAAGTAGGTATTATGTGCTCAGGAGCACTAGGGAACTAGGAGCAAATGGAGAAGAAAAGCAGAGGCCTTCTCCGCTAGGAGTATCGATCGGAATCCCCGCCGGGTCGCTGCTGAGGGCCCACACCTTTTGGCTCCCGGGGTTAAACAAGTCCAGTGGCTCCACAGGGCAGCTGCACACCTCAAAGAGACAGTACACACACACACACACACACACACACACCACCTCGCCCAGATTAGGCCTCTTCCTTTTCTTTCTTTCTATCTATCATCTATCTATGTATCTATCTATCTATCTCTTTTTAGTTTCCTTTTCTCTTTCTTATTTTGTGCCCCTCTGGGTCTTGCCAGAGGCCCAAACAGACAGGGGTTTGAATGACCTCAGAATTAAGATGTCTGATTTGGGCCAGTGCCGGCACACCTCACTTAGGTGAAGTACACCCCGTCACAACAGAAGCAGGTCCTTCTTCTGGTCCCTGCCTCCTCGGTGTATCCACAGCCCTGGGTGGCAGTTCAAAGGGGAAGGGAGAAGATGTTGGAGAAACTCAGATTGCCCCAGCACTGGATTTCAGAAAAATGGGCTCCAAGTACACGATTTCGTTCGGAAAGGGTAGTAAGGGCAGCAAGTGGTTGCAGCCGCGCCCTTTCGGGCCTCTTCAGCCGGTTCCAAAGGCTCGCTCCCGCGAGGCAGTTTGTATTAACTGGGCAAGAGGCCGCGAGGACAAGCTCCCGCGGGCTCGAGCGCCAACACGCTCCAGCTTGGAGCCCAAGACGCCTCTGAACCAAGCACAAACACTCACGAAATGGGAGGGGACCCGGGCAAGAACGTGGGTTGGCGCCCCTGTGAGGGAAATCAAGACCTCAGTGACGGGAGTGTTCTCCTGCAGCGCCCGGAAGACAGAGCAGAGCCCCCGACGACATACCCTGTAACCCGGGTTCCTGGGATGGTCTGCTAGGAGCTTGCCTTGAGTCCCTGCGGCGGGCAGACGCAAGGCCTTCTTCAGGCAGCAACTCCCAGCGGTCAGTCTGGAGCCAACTGTGTTCAGGCAGCGGAGGGCCCTTAACCAACCCGCCAAGACGTCTCGGGGGCCACCTGTCACCCACAACGGCGGAGCATGGCAGGGCAGTGCTTAGCGGCTCCTGCCAGGGGCTCCACGGTGTGCGTGTCTCTTGAGGGCGCGGGGACGTATTAAGCTTCTCAGGCCGACCGGCACCTCCTAAACTAAGGGGCGGGGACCTTATTCGCAGAGCCCCCCACCCCACTTTCCCTCCCGCTGGTCTGGCTCCCAGCCCAGCTCAGCCCATCTCTCCCGGAAGTTTAGTTCCGGATCCAGGCCTGAGAGGCCGCTCGCAACCCACGTTGGTACGGAACACACGATAGTTTCGGCTGCTGGCTGGTCAGATTAATAATTGAAAAGCTCGCTACTGTCCTTGCTTGGTCAAGCCCCGGGTGCCGGGAGAACACCTTCCTCACACGCATTAGGGTGGGCGGGAGGCGGGACGCAAGCGAAGGCAGTGAAGCCCCGCGCGAGCAGTAGCCCCGGCTTCATCGCGCCCTCGACGCGAGAGGCTGCGCACTTATTTTTGTTCCAGGCTTTCCACCGTGTGGTTATGTCACTTTCTCAAACAAATGTGTATATGGAGGGAGATCGATGCTGATAATGTTTAGAAGATTAAAAGAGCATTAATGCTGGCAACAATAACGTAAACCTGTGGACCCAGATTTCATTGATCTGGAACCTGATCCGGCGCGTTTCCAGTAAGCCCGACGGTGCGCTCTTCCCAGCAGCGCGCTCGCCAGGCGGCCCGGCTCGCCCGCGCTCCCGCCGAGCCGCTCCCCAGCTGCGGGCGGGATCTTGGGTCTGGCGGCAGCTCCTCCCCCGCGCGGGCCGCAGCCGGCCTCCTTCCTCTCCGAGGCTTCTCGTCGCTGGGGGGTTGCCTGCCATCTTCCCCGGCCCCGCGCGTGCACACACCGTTGGCTGCGCTCCCCGCCGCGGGCTCTGCGGGTGGCTGGGTGAGAAGACCTATCGCGCGCCCGGTGCCCGCATCCTCCCAGCTCTCTGGTCCTTAAGTAAGGAGCCGTCGCCCCCGGGCCCGCACGGCCCATAACTGGTCCAGTAAGGCCCGGCGCAAGTTCTCCATCCGAAACCAGGAAATTCGGTCACCCTCTCCATATGCGGGGACTTCCAAGCCCAACTTTGGAAATGACGTCTCTAAAGCTGCCTGGAACCGCGCAGCTTCCTGAGCCGCGGATCCCCGCCTAGTCTTCCCTGTTCTCATTAAAAGAGAGAGAGCATTCGCGTTAAATGTACCCGTTCGCAAACTTTCGACACAGTTGCATTAGTTGGGCAAGTAACTGAGGCCCCAATGACAAAATCCTGGGCTTCATCCCCGAGAATTGCCTGCTCTGTTCCGGGATAATTG